TTAATATTTTTATATTTTATTTATTTGATTAAATACGTTATATATATAAAATTATACACAAATACCTATGAAGATACAAATCTATATTCCATATAGCTATGTGAAAACATTCTAAGTACAACAAATATATTTATGATAATTAATTTAATGTTAGAAGCAGAAAAAGTTAATAGGAGAGTAAATTAAATACACAAAAATTCATACCCACATGCACACGCACACACACGCACACATACACACACCAATATAAAAAATACTACTATAGAAATTATCTACAATCACATTTTATGTTTGCGTAAAAACTAAAAATAAAATGCGCAAAACAATTTCACAGTGACCACCATTCAAACATAGTTTTAACATTTAAAGAGTATAAACATGATCACATTTTGTGTACAATAAAAGACTCTGTTAGCTGCAAATCCTTTGCTTTAATGGAAGATCACTTTCAGAATCACTGGATTCATTGATAGCATCAGGTTCATCATCTGAAGAAGAATATTCTTTTTTTTGTACTTCTACTGTCTGTGTTCTTTTAGACTACAAATAAAAGTTATTATAGGTCATGCATACAAATTTAATTAATATATATAAAACAGATAAAGAACAAGTTCAATCATTAATACCTTTGGCCAATTTTTAGCAGGCCTTTTTGGTGTATTGATTTTTGGAACATATTTATCAGCAACTCCTTCAACGCGTCTAATATCAAAATCTTGGTCTACTTTAGTTACAGTTTGCAATCTTTGTTCTTCTGATGTTACATACAAATCATCAGGTTGGTGATAAGTGTTGTGCACTTCATATGCTTTTTTACTACAAAATAAAGCAGCACACACTGTACACTTTATTAAATCTTCTGGAACAGCTTCTCTTTCTTCCTATTAATTATAAAATAAAAAGCATTAGTATAATACAAAAACAAACAAAATGTGTTTATACAATATTTACTTATATTCCTTTACTTGAGTATGAGCTCGTTCCAAGTGCTGTTGTAAATTAAATTTTATAATATATTCAGCTCCACACAAATGGCAGTAATATACACTGAGAGCATCGTTCATTGAATTCACTTTGATTTTATTACTAGGTGGTGGTGTTGCAGTTGGTTGAAACAAATGTACCATCCTGTGAATTAAACTATTAAATATAAGTTAGAAAAATTTAATAGTACATTACTTTTGAAAAAACTTTCAACCTTTTATGTATCGAACGATAATGGTAATTTAAAGCTTTTTCATTATAAAACAATACATCACAATCTTCACATTTCTTGTGTTGCTCTTTCTTTTCACTCTCAGATGAATCATGTGAAGCTTGATGATTATCCCTGTGAGTCTAATAAAGAAATAGCTTGTAAAATTATATAAAAGACACATTGTGTATGTACAAATAAAAACATACTTTTAAAGGAAATTGCATCCCACAGTAATGACAGTAGAATTTTGTTGGTGAGTTAGGGTGGACCTTAAATCTATGTCGTATTGTTGCAGTAATTGAATCAAACGCTTGTTCACACATATCACATTGAGTATCAGCATTTTTATTAGTTTTCACAGGTCTGCCACGAGTATCTATTTCTTTGTTGGCATGTTTCCTATACATACAATATTTAACTTTTTATTGTTTTAAATTATTTTGATAATTAAAATTTTTAAAAATGAGTTATTAGAAACTTCAAGAACAAGAAAAATTTATAACACTTCTGTTTTGAAATTACACATTAACATGTACAAAACTTGAATAATTTTTATTTCTTTTTCTTATGTTTATAAATTCAAGTAAGTCATTAAGCAAATATAAAATGTCAATTTATAGTAGTAGATGTTAATCATAGAAACATATGTAACTAAAATATCTAAAAATCATAGTACAGAATCAATATCAGGAAAATTTAATAAAGAATAATGTATATTACATTTTATTTCTTTTGTAAATTTATACATTCCTCAATCACATTATTTCCATTAACTTGTTAATTTTCTATTAAATTCTTAAAATTTATTATGCACTATAGTCAAGTATAAAATATAAAATGATTTGATCTTCATGC